CACTAAGTCAGTGCAGGCAGTGCCAGAGGGAGGTCCCAGGGCTGAGATGTCCTCCATAGAGCTGAAGTCCTTGAAGTGGAAGGATCAGAATTAGAAGCACATAACCAGTGTCCCAGACCAGGGTGCTGAGTGGGGTCCACAGGCACATGGCAGAGTCTTCCAGCCTGCCTCTTGGGAAGATCTGCAGCCCAGAAGGTGGGGACTAGGCAAGTGTGTAACTGAGACTACATTTAAGGAGGCACTCACTCTTGGGTCTATACAAGCACAGAGTATCAACTTCAGGATAATCTCCTCCTTAAATTTTCTCCTCTTGGACCAAGCTAGCCTTGCCTGACAGCCTTGCATGCACCAGGATCTTGCATGGGTGCAAGTTCATGTCCCACTTCCCATGAAGCTCCGTTTTCCATCCAGCTCCCTGCTTGTGGTCTGGGAAAGCAGTCGATTATGGCCCAAAGCTGTGGGACCCTGAACCTGCTTTGGAGACCTGGAAGACACTCTTGGCTCCTGGTGTCAGATCAGCTCAGCTTTGGACATTGCAGCCACGTGGGGGGTGAACAGCAAATGTAAGATATTTCTGTCTCAGGTCTGATGCGACAGCCTAACAGCTAAAGTCCTCACCTTGCATGAGCCGGGATCCCATTTGAGCGCCAGTTCTAACCCCAGCAGCTCCACTTCCCATTTAGCTCCCAGCTTGCAACCTGGTAAAGCAGTTGAGGAAGGCCCAAAGTCTTGGTTTTCTGCACCCACATGGGAGATCCAGATGAAGTCCCAGGTTCCTGGTTTCAGATCAGCTAAATTCTGGCCATTGCAGCTGCTTGGGGACTGAATGAATGGATGGAACATCCTCTCTGTCTCTCCTCCTCTCTGTATATCTGACTTTGCAATAAAAAAAATAAATCTTTTTAAAAAATATCTTTCTGGAAGTCCAGGTGAGGAATGAATCCAACAACAGGGCTTCTGTACTTGCAGGTAAGCAAGGGGACTGAGACTTGGTAGTTTGAAGGGAAGAGATCTGAAGATATTTTTGGGTCAGACTAATGAAGCACCAGTCCACACGGAAGTCCCAGGTTGGGCTTGTTAGCATGGAATATGGCTGACCACCACATGCCAGCACACATGCAAGCTATGGCTGGGGGCCTGTCTGGCAGCGCTAGTTCCCAGTACCTGTAGTGAGTGTCAGATCAGTGGATGGGTCACATTAGACTAAGCCATGACACCAACTAGAACTAGAGAGAACTAGGTCCATGGGTGGAGTCTGTGGGGGATATGTGAGCCCAACCCTATGGAACTACAAATCCTATTACTACTGCTTAGCTTGAGAGTTGGGATGGTGATGGGCTGAGCTGGGGGAGACCATGGAACTCACCAATGCTCACCAGTACTGGGGCTGGGAACAAGCAGGGCAGATTTAGTCTGTAGCACAAGCACCCTAAAACAGGGTGTGGGTGGGCCTGGCCACAGCTCATACAAAGGTGGGAACAGATGGGGCAGGCCATGTTGGGTAAGGGCCAAGCACCCGCTGGCATGCATGAGATCTGGGTCAGGGAGTGGCCCAAGCACAGGAACCTGGGAAATTCCCCCCATGGGTCATAACTCCTGCTGATGAACATGTGGTCCAGGCCTGGGAGTTGGGCAGGCTGGGTAAGGCAGCTCCATCCAAAGGCAAGTGTGTGAGTTGGTTTTGGAAGGGGGTGGACTGGCCAGGCCCAAGCAAACCATAGCCTACTGGCAAGTGCAGAAAACAGGATGGAGTGCAGATCAGGCCAGGCTAGACTGCCACACCTACTGGTTTGCAAGAGTTAGGGATGAGAGCAGACTGAACAGGACCAGGTTGCAGCACCTGCCGGCACGAGTTGGTACTGGGGCTGGCTGGGCCAGGCAAAGGCCAAGACAGAGGAGGGGCAATGGCAAGCTAGGTTAGAGCAAATACTGGAACACATATCTGTGGCTGGAATCAGGCCTGGTTGCAGAGCTAAGGGGACGCCCTGGCTGGGTTGTGGCTCCCACTGGTGAGCATGAGGACCAGAGTCAGGGATGCAGTCTGGTCTGGATATGGATACAGTATCCCTCGGCACAGTGTGGACTGGGTCTGGGGTGTGCAAGACTGGGCTAGACTCCAGCACCCATTGGAGCTCATGAGAACCAGGATGGGTGTAAGATAGGCTAGGATAGGTTTATGTCCCTGCTGAGCCAGGTGTAAGCTGTGTCAGCGTGTGGACCAGGCTGGGCTGGGCTGTAACACCCAACAATAAGAATGGGAATAGATGAGGGCCAGTCAGGAAAGGCCACTGTTCCTGCTAGGACAGGAGGTGGACTGAGTAGGGCTGGGCCATGGGTGCATCGATGGGCACGAGATCTGGCATTGGAAGAGTTTCTGATGGAGGAGCTTGGGGAACTCCTTTGTGGGGACACAGTCCCTGCAGGTGAGCACAAGAACCACAACAGGGAGCAGCTAAGATCAGGCCAGGAAATGTTACCCAGCGGCTTACCTTTGGCTCAGGTCTGGGGTGAGCCAGACTGGACCAATTCATATTACCCGCTGGCAAGTCCAAGAGCCATGCCAAGTCAGGCTGCAATACCAGCCAGTTCACAACAGGGCTGGGACTGAGGGCTACCTTGGCTGGGCTAGGCGTAGTCCCCATCAACATGAGCTGAAATGGGCTGAGCCAGGCCACAGCACAGCACCCACTGGCAAATGCTGAGGTGAGATGGGTCATATATACCAGACTGGACCACAGCACCAAATCAGCACACGTAAGACCTGGGGGCAGTGGGCGAACCCAGTAGAGCGGGCTGCAGGGCAATCCCACTGGACAGTGTGAGCTGGGATAGGGGCAGACCAGACCAGGCAGGGTTACAACACCTGTCAGCCTGCATGTGAGCTGAATCGGGGAAAAGCCAGGCTGGGCTGATTGTTCCTTCTGGTACGTTCATAAGCCAGAGTGGTGAGGGCTGGTTGGGCTTTGCCGCAGCATCAGCTAGCAGAGGCTGCCACAGGGAAAAACTCCATCAAGCTAAACTGCAGTACTACCTGGAGAGTGCAAGATCCGGGAGTGGGAGTGGACCCAGTAAGGAAACAGTGGGCACCTCCCTCCTGGGTTGCCACTCCATCTGATGAGCATAAGAACCAGGACTGGGGCAGGCATGGCTAGACAAGGTGGTACCTGTCGGCACCAGCGTGGGCTGGATAGTGGGGCTGGTTGGGTTGAACTAGGCTTCAATACCCATTGACATATATGAGAGCTGAATGGGATATGGAACATATAGGACCAGTCTGCTGCACATACTGGCAAACATAGGAACCAGGGCAGGAGGCAGTCCTGGTGGGGGTTATTGTGGGTCACTCCGACTAGGCTACAGCTGCCACTGGTTTGCGTGAGAGGTAAGTGTGTGGGATGGGCAGGACTGGGCTGGACTGCAACACCCATCAGTTGCATAGAAGACAGGGCTGGAGACAACTGACCCAGCAATTGCAACCATCAGCATGTGCATAAGGCTGATTTGCGCGACAAACTGTGCTAGACCCTGTACTGGCATACACATACAAGAATCAGGTCTGGGATCACCTCAGATGAAGTTTCTTTGGGAACTCCCCCAACTGAATCGCTGGACTTAGAACTCCAACCACGGAGGAAACTGCAGGTTCCGTGGTCTGACTGTGGAATACGTGTGTCATAGCTGGGCCTCTTCAGTGGCTTAGATGGAGCACTGGACAGCATATACAGATGCTAATGGAGGATTTGGCAGTACACTGGAACCTGCAGAGAACACCTAGTACCATGACAGAAGATAGAAGACAGAATAAATCAACTACTCCAGCCAAGTGTTGGCAGTGAATACCTGGGCAGAGACTCTAAGGTGGGCTATGTTAGCTGGTGGATTCTGGAGAGATTTCATCATGACTGGAGTGGCAAGATTGGCAGCAATTACAGAACTGTTGAACTATCAAAACCACTTGAGCAGCATGTGCTCGCTTCAGCAGCACATATACTAAAATTGGAATAAAAACACTTGGGCAGGACCCGCAGAGTATGCCCCACATGGGGCACTCTGGGATGTTTGGGAGGATGGGTGTGGCTTCTCCCCCTATCTCTCCCCTCCCCCAGATACAGGAAGGAAAAAAGAAATTGTCAAAACAATGGTTCTACCCACTTTCCTCTAGTCCTTGACCCTCTGCACCCTAATCAAATATGTAAAAAGTTTCAAAAATAAAATTTATACCATTAAAGACCTTTCTCTCTACTCTCTATATATCTGCCATTCCAATAAAAAAAGTAAATCTTTAAAAACAAAAAAACAAACAAATGGTGTCTTAGCCCTTGCCATGGGAGGCCCAGAAAGAGTTCTAGACTCCCAGCTACTTGGTCTGGTCTCGCCCCAGCTGCTGCATGAAATTAGAGTGAGCCAGAGGATGCAAGACATACTCTCGGGGTCATTCTGCCTTTCAGATAAAATAAACAGATTTTTAAAACACATTTTGTTTGTGTCCACAGAATCTGGTTGCCTTACCTTAGTCCTTCCTGCACCCTGCATAGGCCCATATCTGTCCCCAAAAGTAAAACCTAGGAACCTGAGGTAAACTGACTAAGCATCAGGGAATGAGGAGGCGAGAACCGAGTACTTTTGGACTAAGTCCTCTGACTTGATCAGAGCCAGCAGGGTGCCTAACGGAAAGAGACCATCTATCTGTTCTCCCTACTAAAGTAGACCCCACTCCCAGCTTAAGGTCTGCTCCCTTGGAAGAAGGGCTGGATCCAGAATGTCCCCCTGAAGGGCAGCATCCTTAGTCGCAAAGCAGGATTTCTTGGGGGTGGTGATGAAGCTATGTCCCACAACAGGTGTGCCAACTTCTTCCAGACCTACAGGCCAAATGCACCCTCTTGAGGCCCATGGAGACAAGCCGATGCTCCGGGAAGAAACTGACAGGGACTTCAGGACAGTAGCAATTCAGATGTTTATTCTGAGGGGAGGCACAGGCCACTGCCCCCACTGCCCCGGGCTCAGGGCTTCGCAGGGGGAGGGGCCTTGGAGGAGACCAGCCACACCTTGGGGGTGGAGTTCTGAATGAGCTGAGTGGCAGTCACATAAGGCTTTGGTGCATCTGTCTGGATGGGGTGCTGCTGCTCAGTGGAAGGAGAGTTGTTACCTTCTCTGTTCTCCTCCTGGGGCACAGTGGAACTGAAGAGCATCTGGGTTTTGGGGTCCCATAGGCTGACTCCAGGAGCCAACTTCACAGCTTCCGGCTGCAGTAAGGGCTTCCACAGCAACTGGGTGGTGGCCTCAAGAACCTGAGCAGGCTGAGGCCACTGGGCGGTATCTTGGCCCTCCCTGTCTGTGGGCCCCAGGCCCTGGGGAGATGCCTGTGTGTGGCCTGCCCACAGCTCATCCAGCAGCTCCACCTCCCGCTCCCAGCCACTGGGCCACTTGACGTCAGGCCACAGCTGGTGTCTGGGGCTGCTGTTCTCTTTAGCAAGCACTGGTTTCTTGGCCAGGAAGCAGAGCTTAGGGCTGGGGAGTGGCTTCTTGGATGCAGAAGGTGATTCCAGTGGGCCCAAGTTGGAAGTGGGGAATCTGAGTCGGCGGCCCTTGCCAAGGGCACGGAAAGGAGTGCCAGGATGGAGGGAGAAGAACCCTGCTGGGGACATGTGGTCGCCAGGACAAGGGGCTTGAGGCACAGCCTGGGCCTTGGTCTTTTTGTTCTGCTGCTGCCCACAGTAGGCGTCCAAAGGGTATCTCTCCAAGTTTGGAATCAGGACTGTGGTTAGGGGCTGGACCCAGTGGTATGGGAACCTGGTAGGGTCCAGGCGCCTTCTGGCTGCCCTATGGTCTGTCCTGGATTGCAGCAGGTTCAACCGTGCATGCCAGCGCCCTGGCTGCTGCCACCTGCAGGGTCCCGAGAGGCTAAGTGGGGTGGGGTGGTCCTTGGAGGGCCCTGACACAGCCATGCCCGAGGTGATGAGGGGCAGACCCTCTTTCTTAAGTTCCATCTGGTCCCCAGCTGCGGCAGTGTCAGCTGTGGCCATGCAATAGTAGAGGTCCTCGAGTGACAGGCCGTAGATGAGGGACTGTCCCCTTTGGGCCAGGGTCTGGGGGCTGGCTAGCTGGGATAGCTCCAGAGAGTGGGAACTTTTGATTGGCCCCACCTCCAGCCATGGCAGCTCGAAGCTGCCCAAGGACTCCACAGAGGAGTGATAGCTGTCAGCTTCCTCTAAAACATCTCCCGGCCCTGACCCTTGAAATGGTTCGGGGGTAGGTGGGAGGCCCAAGGCACCTCTCAGCTCGGAAGAGGGCTCCCAAGATTCCGTCTGCTCCTGGGAGTATCTATCCAGCCACGATCTTCCCGTCGGAATATGGTCCAGGATCCCAGAGTCCTAGGAGGAGTACACCCAGGTAGTGAGAGGCCTCAAAAAGCAGAGGAGTCCCGAGAGGAAGGCGGATGGCAGCTGCCCTTACTTCACTCTCGAAGGTTTCCTCGTGGCTCTCTGAGAACTGTGTGTGCAGCACAGGCACAGAGCCCTGAGCCCAGGAATCAGTCGTGCATGGCAAGGGCTCCTCATCCTCGCCCCACGTGGGGTCCTCAGCCACAGCAGACTCTCCCTCGTCCCGAGCCAAAAAGCGCCACTCGGCGATCTGCAGCATGGCCTCCCGGGCCTGGCTGATGGTAAAGGGGATGCACTGCAGAGGGGGAAGGTCTCGGGCAGACATGGAGCAGCAGCAGGCCAAGGATGGGGAAAGGTCTGGGGGCACCAGGCCCAGGCTCACCTGCTGGGTCAGGTAGACTTTGAAGGCGGAGTCCATGACTCGGGCTAGCAGATCAGCCAGGATGTCCCCCACCACGTCCTCGCCCTCCTCAACCACCATGAGCGCAATCCACTCAGCCTCATTGAGCCGCCCGGGCACGATATCCACCTGTGGCACGGGGACTGTGGGGGGTCGCACCTTTTCTGCCTTGGATCGGGTCACCCCGCGGTCACGGGCCTGCCTCTCCTGCCTCTGTGGGAGCCAAACAGGGCAGTCAAGTCACCAGCCAGTGGAGTGTCCTTGGAGTAAAGAACCTTGAGCACCCTTGAGTACCCTATAGGCTCAAGGAGAAGGACCAACAACTGACTTAAGAGCCAGCAGTGCAACAGGATGGAAGCTAGGTGTTTGATCCAACTTAATTTCCATCAACAGCCCACCAATCTAATTCTATAGACCAAAAAACTAAAGCTTAGAAAGAAAGTTCAATACCATTTGCTTGAGAGAACACAACTGGCAAGCCCAGACTACAGAAAGCTCTGCGTGTGAACCAGCGCAATAGCCTAGCAGCTAAATCCTTGCCTTGCATGCACCAGGATCCCATATGGGGACAAGTTCATGTCCCAGCTGTTCTACTTCCCATCCAGCTCCCTGCTTGTGGCCTGGGAAAGCAGTCGAGGACGGCCCAAAGCCTTGGGACCCTGAACCTTCATGGGAGACCTGGAAGAGCTCCTGGCTCCTGGCTTCAGGTCAGCGCAGCTTCGGCCATTACAGCCGCTTGGGGAGTAAACCAGAGGATGGAAGATCTTCCTCTCTGTTTCTCCTCTCTGTAAATATGCCTTTCCAATAAAAATAAATAAGTCTTTTAAAAAATCACAGAAAAGCAAGCTCTATGTGGCCTTGCTACCAGTGTTCAGAGTTCTTGAGAGGGCAGAGTACTGGGGAAAAAAAAATAAGTTAATGGTGCTGAAATTACAGAAAAACTGAGAGTCTTCTACATTTGAATCATATTTTGTGTGGTGTTTTAAAAAAGATTTGTGTAAAAAAATTGTGTAAAAGCATACATATTTCTACATATAGTAAAAACTCATAGAAAGGATTAGATACTATGGTACAGCATATTAGGCCACTGCCTCGGACATCCGAGTACCAGAATGTCCAGCTACCCAATTCAGATCCTACTTCCTGCAATTGTGCCTAGGAGGGCAGCAGATGACAGCCCACACACTTGGGTTCTGCCTCCCGATGAAGAGGGACCCAAGCAACAGGCTCCCTCCCGGCTTCTGCCTTGCCCAGCTCTGACTTTTGTGGGCATTTGGGGGAGTGAATCAGCAGATGGAACATCTCGCTTTCCTTCCCTCTCGTAATTCTACTTTTAAAATCAATTAGTCAACCTTAAAAAAAGGAATTCATATAAAAGAAAAATTATTGAAGACTCCTTAAGGTTAGTAAACAATATTTCACACAAAAAAGAAACTATAAACAAGCAATAAATATTTGAAAAATATGCAGATGCAAGACGAGGATTTAGCCAATGAGCCAAGGTGCTGGTACTGGATTATTTTTAAAATAAGAAATATTCCAGGGTGGTAAAGTTTTGGTCAAGTCCATACTGTAGCACCATGCTGATGGGAATACTAGCTAGAATAGCGTGTTTGGAGAGCGATACCACACTACATATCAAGACTATAAACATGCTTTTAACTTCCTCAACCCCATAATTTCAGTTCTGTGGAAATACCCAAAAGGTATGATCTCTAAAATGTTCACTGTGTATCAAATCTGTAATAGCTGAACATTGAAAACATGTCCAAGAAAAAAGATAATTGGTGGTTAATTTGCTACATCTATAACTGGAATGTTCTAGAATGATTGAAGGTAATCTTGAGGAAGAATTTGTGGTAGTATCTGGAAACCCTTGAGATGTAACATTAACTGAAGGAAAGTATACAAAGCCACACCTTAGGATCTCAGGTGTGAAGATCAGCTTGTGCTAAAGAGAAGCAAAATACCACAGACCATAACAATAGTATGTGTCTTTCCTAGGCACTCCTCTGTTTTGTAAGTTCTACAATGAGTTTGTATTCCAACGTAATCAAGAAAAAACCCAAACAGAAAGAAAAAGACTTGTCTCCCAAACCTACTTTAAAGTCACAGGAATTTGCTAATAATCTCTTAGGAGCCTTCTTCCTGTGACCACAACCCCACTACAAGCCCAGGGACTGACCCACGGCCCAGAGCCAGAATGCCAAGGTGGGGGTTAGAGTTGGTTTCTCTCCCAGCTCCTCATCTGACCCCTTGATGGTGATCATACCCAGGTACAATCTGATCAGAGGATACAGATGTGTTCTCTTGCGTTTGAAAATTTCTGACTTGTTCTTAAAGGGGTTTTATTTGAGAACTAGAGGGACCAAGTGAGAGAAACAAAGCTGCCTCCGCTGGGAACTGTCTGAAGCCAGGAGTCAAGCATTCAATCCTGATCCCCCACGTGGGCAGCTGGAACTCAATTCCTTGGTGTATCTTCGCTGCCTCCCAGGTCTGCATTAGCTGTAATTAGGCATCTGAACCAGGGACAGGCATCTGAACCAGGCCCTTGGGTACACTTGTGGGACAGGAGGCACCTCAATTATCACGCAAAAGAACCACCCCTAAATATCTGTCTTTGAAACAATTTGACTTGCAAGGGTAGCCTCGCTGTTGTTGAATCCTCTTCTTTCTCCTACAGTTCTGGAAATACATGATTTATCTGTCAATACTTTCGTCTCAATTGCCTGACCAACTCAGGTCATGTCAATGGGCACCTCGGTTTAAGAAGCTTACTACCATGCTCTGGAAGTTTCCCAATTCACTCGTTCTCGGCCTCTACAACACTCACTGACCCCTTTCTTCAGGGCCTGAGAGTGCCAAAGCGGGCACAGCGGAAGAGTAGGTTTCCTGACCAAGTACCCCTTAAAGTGGCTTTCTTGGTCATCCTGAGAGCCTCCTGGAGCAAGGAGGTGTGTCGGAAGGTGCGGAGCTGATCCCAAAGTTCGAGACACCGACCTTAAAAACCAACCCGGGTTGTCATGCAGCACCCTCGTCCTCCCCCCAGCTGAGCAGAAGCTCACCGAGCTCTCGTGCGCCATTGCCGCCGTGGGAGGCTCCAACGTGCGCTTCGACACCCTTCAGGCCAGGTGGCCGACGCCACCTCTGCCGCCTAACCGTCACCTCGGCAACGACGCGGCGTGTTGGTCCTTCGCTCCGCCCACCGTTGTCCCGGCAACCGCGCCGCGCGCCACACCTTCCGTCCGTTTGCCCCGCCCAGCGGCCGTGCGTCTGTGCGTCGTCTCTATGGTGGCGGCGGATTCGGAGGTACCAAACGTTCCCAGGATCCCGCCAGCGGTTCTGGGGCGCCCGTTGTAACCTTTGACCCAGGCCGGAGGATTCGTGGAGCCGAACGGAGTGAGAAGGATCCTTCCTGGCTCGGGTGCTTAGGGTCCTGTGCCATCATCTTTCCTCCTCTGGGATTGCCCCCATCGTCCCATGACTCAGCCCCTGGAACTCCTGTCTCCTCCACGAGACCGTGCCCACCCCAAGTGATTCTCCTTCCATTACTGTCCACGAGGCACCCTCTCCATGACCCTGTCTCAGGGGCCTTCAGCGGTACTCCCCGGACCCCGGAATCTCGGCTGTTTCCCGCGCGCCAGGGTGATTCGGGTGTCCCCTCCTCAGGATGTTCCGGCGCGAGCTCTCCATCCCTCTTCGCGACTCGGCCGCTGCCCTGAGCAACAACCTCAGCGTGCTGCAGCTGCCGGCTGGAAACCTCAAGCAGTTTGCAGTGGTCCATGGCACAAGCGCCCAGCTTCTCAGCGCTGCCCCTGAGGATGGGTCGCTGGTCCAGCGCCAGCTCCACGCGAAGGAGGGCCCAGGAGTGAGCCCCTCACTCATCACTCAGGTGAGGCATGGCGCATGGTGGATTCCAGCCCGGTTGGCCGTCCGTTCTCTTCCAGCCTTGAGGGACACACAGGCCTTCTGGGTGCTCGTGTTGAGCTGTGCCTTTTCTGTTCCTCCCCCTTGCAGGTCCACTGGTGTGTCCTCCCTTTCCGAGTCCTGCTGGTTCTCACCTCCCAGCGGGGAATCCAGGTAAGAAAAGGAGCTTCCTGCCCTCCTCTGCCAGGATCTTCTCTACAGCACCCCACCCCCACCCCAGGCCCTTTCTCTCCACCCAGTTCTCAGCATTTCCCTGCCTTTTGCATGCTTAGCCCACTCTGGGTTCTTTCCATCTTCCCCAGGTCCCTATGGCCACCTACTGCATCTGCCCCTTACTAGCTAGAGCCCCAACGCCCTCTTCTGTAAAATGGGGTTATAGCACCTACCTCCCAGAATAGTATTGAGGACTAAATAGCATCAAGCCAACACAGCTGCAAGAGACAGCATAGAACTCAGCCAGGGTCAGCTGGGCTGTGCCCCATCCTTGTCCCTGCCTTCCAGATGTTCGAGTCTGATGGCTCCGTCATGGTGTATTGGCATGCACTGGACTCTGGAGATGCCCCTCCAGGTAACTGGGGATCCCAGGGGGTGGGATGGGGTGGGAGTGGGGGAAAGGGAACGCTGACTGGGACCTGAGTGGGGGAAGAGATGCTACTTCTGATAGTTTTCTCCTTTCGTCCTCAGTACAGGCTGTGTTTGCCCGAGGAGTTGCTGCCACTGGCCATTTCATCTGTGTGGGTGAGGAAGACAGGAGCAGGGCACTGAGCGATGCTCAGATATAGGCTCTGGTCCACAACTGAAAAGGGTTCCAGGGGTCAGGGTTGTTGGAGCAGACAGTTGTCGCTAAGGTTTCTGGGGTGAAGGGAGTGCTGGGTATGATGGCTGGGGACCCAAAAGGAACATGAAGCCATCAACTGGATATGATCTGGCTGCAGGAACATGGTCAGGCCGAGTGCTGGTATTTGACATCCCAGCCAAGGGTCCCAACATCGTCCTGAGTGAGGAGCTGGCTGGGCACCAGATGCCAATCACAGACATTGCCACTGAACCTTCCCAGGGAGAGGTAAGTGGCTTCCCCTGCCTGTCCCGGCAAGTCTGGGAGACAAGGAACCCTGGTTTGAGGCCTGGCTCTGCCACTAAGCAGCTGAATGGCTTTGAGCAATTCTGCATTTACCTGGACTTGAGCAGCCAAAGATGTTTCATGTTTACGTGGCTCTCTGTGCATAGTTCACAGAGACTTTTCAATCCTGGCATGAACTCAAGAGTGGCAAGAAGTGCTTCCTGAGATGCTTTCCACCTCTGATGTGTGCAGTGTCCCTCTGCGGACTTGGGCAAGGTGGGGTGAAGGGAGTGCTGGGAGCACAGAACCAGCTCCAGTGCTGCCAGCTCCAGGAAGCCTCCCCCTAGTCCAGCTCCTCCTGCACTCCTGGTGCCTGGGAGGCTCAGGGGCCCTGAGTCTGGCTCACTGCAAAGCCCCCGGCAGGTTGCAACACTAGTTCATCCATCCAGTGAGCACACTTAGGCACCACAACACTTAGACACAAGCAGGGGTCGGCTCTGAGGCCCTAAGCGATACTAGTGCTCTCAAGGGAACTGGGGTGGGGTGGTGGGCTGCAAGCCTTGAGTGCTTCACATCTCACCCTTTCCCTGGAGCAGCAAAGATGTGTGCGTGCTGCCTGCCCGGGACACAGGACCCTAGGAGGGGAGAATGGGAAGACCCGATCCTCTCTTCTCCCTTTCAGGACTGCTGGGCAGACGTGGTGACAGCAGATGACTCAGGCTTGCTGTGTGTGTGGCGATCAGGGCCTGAATTCACATTGCTGACACGTATTGCAGGGTTTGGGTAGGTGAGGCCAAGGAGGTTGGGAGGCGTTTCTTATGTAAAGTAGGATGGATGGAGAGCGGGCTTGAGCCTGGGAAAATCCAAATGTGTCCCCCATGCAGGGTGCCCTGTTCCTCTGTGAAGCTGTGGCAGGGGATTGTTGCAGCAGGCTATGGAGATGGGCAAGTGCGTCTCTATGAGGCCTCCCAGGGAATGCTTCATGTCCAGATCAGCGCCCACGCCCGGGCCGTTTCTGCTCTGGATCTGGCTCCTGAGGAGGGAAAGGTCAGTCTCTTCCCATATCCCTGCGTTCCCCTCCTCCTGGTCACTGCAATGGGGAAACAGCCTGGGCTTGTCGCTTCCCACTTAAGGCAGCCCCTGCCCCACCTGCACCTGGGCTGCGTCCTCACCCCTAGTCTTCCTCCATCCTCCCTGTAGCTACTCTCAGCAGCCGAGGACACATTTGTGCACATCTGGAAGCTAAGAAGAAGTCCAGAGAGTGGCTCTATCGAGGTGTGTGACCCGGGAGCGGTGCTGTGGGGGAACCCTGAGCATAGGGTGGCAGGCCCTGAGCACCCTTCCTCTCCCAGGTGGAACACTGCCATGGGGAGTGCGTGGCCAACACCCAGCTGTGCGGCGCACGTTTCTGTGACCCATCAGGCAGCTCCTTCGCCGTGACGGGCTACGACCTTGCCGAGATCCTGAGATTTAGCAGCATGTGAGAGCACAGCAGTCTCTCCTCCCCCCTTTGGTATTTATAAAGTACCCCCTCCACCTGGCCCTGGTCTGATTACTCGGCAGCACAACTAACTTTCACAGCTGGGAAAAGGGGCTCCAGGGAGCCAGGGCTGGGGTGGGGTCCAGAGCAAGCCAACAGTCACCCATCCCCAAGAACCAGGGGAAGGCTGTTGTTAAATAACTTTAATGGTCAGTGTGGAGTCCCAGGGAGGTGCACTTTCCCATGGCTCCCCAAATGTCATTTTCAAAGCTGGTTAATGCAGGGAGGTAGGGTAGGGTTGCTTCCAGTTTTCTCCCAGGAAACCTTTGGGGAATCCCAGCCAGTCCCTTAGTACCATGGCAATGACAGCTTAGGGAGTCTTCTGCTTCCCCGGTCCAGCAGAGGAAGAAGAGGCCCAGCAGGGCAGCTTGCTGGGGCAGTGCTGCAGGCAGCACCCACTTGCACTTGGGTCAGTTTCTCTTCCGGCCAGATCCACCTTTCTCTCACACTGGTGACTGGAGCCAAGTGCGGGGTAGGCCTTTGCTGCAGAGGCCACGGGGCCGTGGGGATCGCGGGGGAAGAGGTGCAACTGAGCGAGAGGCCGCAGGGCAGTGATCCAGAGGGACTGCATCCAGGGAGAAGGTTCGGGGTCGCCCCCAGGCCAGGGGCTGGGTCCAGGCTGGAGCTGGGGCCACTGAGGCAGCTGAGCAGGGGGTAGGCAGGGCAGGCTGTTCTGTAAACATTGCTAGCCAGGGTGGGGGCGTCTCCAACCTCGCACCCTCTCGCTGGGCCAGAATGTCTGTTACCGCTGCGATGTCATCCAGCGGCTCAATAGCTGTGGCACCAGGAGAGGGGGTGAGGGGAGGGGGCTGGTCAGAGGTCAGGCCCAGGCCTCCCCAGCCCTGAGCATCACCTGTCACTGTAATAGGAGGAAAGCAAAGTCTGGATCTCAGCAGAGATGGCGTTATCGTGCAGGAGCAGCCCCTCACCTGGGCCCCCGGAGGCCAGTGGCTCTGACAGGACTGAGACGCAGGGCACAGAGCAGAGGGGGAGAAGGAATAGGAGCAAGAGTGGGCGGAGAAACCGAAAAAGAGGAGAAAGCCATGCGAGGCAAGGGAGGGGCCAGAGAAAGACAGGAATCCGCATGCAGAGAGGAAAACAGAAAAGAAGACGTTAGGAAAGAAACCCGTGAAATAAATCTGGTTCATTGTAGGTCAGCTTGAAACTTTGGTGGAAGAAGTTCTCTAGGAAGAGTTGGAAAGGAGAGAGGACTTTGCCAGGCTGGGGGGTGGTCATGGACTTGGGGCCCCAGAGGTCTGCCTTAGCTCAAAGTGTGCTTTCTGCCTTTCTGTGACCTGCCTTCCCTGGAACTATACTCCACCCACCAACCCCCCTTCCCCTCCTGTTAGGTCCCCAGAGCATGCACCCACTCACCCATTTCATGATATAGGGAGCCCTGCTTGGCCAGCACTGGGGGTGGCTTCCGGGGGGCAGGAGTCTCGAGTCTCATGATCTCATCACAGCACTGCTTCCACTGGCCTGGAGGAAGAGCAGAAACTGGAAGAGCATGCCAGGCTGCCCTCTGCCACAACCTTCTCCTTTCCCTCCACTGAGCCAAAGAACAGACCCAGTCCCTTCTCTCTCTTACTCATGTCAAAGAAAAGCTGCCACAGGGCCTCCCTCCAGCTCTGCAGGGCTTCCCGGCTTTCTGTCTGAAGGGTGTGCGTCACCTCATTGTCCCCATACCGGTTACTGATACTCAGGCTGAAGGGCCGACCTGAGGCATGGTCCAGCTCCCCTGCCCGGACCCGGGTCTCCTGCGGGAGAGAGAGAGGACGTCGTAAAGGTTGAAAGTGAACAGAGGGGCTTGTGGGGCTTTGGCTGAGCCTTCTCATCCGCCTATTGCTAAGCTGAGTGGACAGAAACAAGGGCAGAGGCAGGATGAGGTAAGCAGACATGCTAAAGCCTGGGAAGAAGGGGCTTGAGCGAGCAAGGGAAGGACAGAGGCAGGGCACAAACACAGGTGCCAGCTGCATACTCCCACCCCTCTGAGAGACCTGTACCCACCCTCCTGGGGCCTGAGGGAGAGGTCCCTGGGCCCAGAGACCTGGCAGCCTCATCTCCAGGGGACCCATCACCTTGTTGATGGCAATAGTAAGCAGTGGCTCCTGGCCAGAATCTGCATCCTCAGGTCTCCGGTAGCAAAAGATGCTTGTGCCCTTCAGGACTCCATGGACCCGTGTCCAGCATTGCCGCTCCCCAGCTTGCTGCATCAATGATTCAACATTTCCTGGGCCACCTCCCCCCAACGATGAGCAGTACCCTCTGTCCACCCTCCTCCCACCCTCTACTACTCTGGCCTAGCTGTCCCCCTCTTCCTCCACCCAGATCTGCTTTCTCAGTAGTCTTGTCCCTAAGGCACCCAGCTCCTGGCTCCCTCCCACCCCACAGGGTTCCTCACCTGCACCCTGAGGGAACCACTTGCACTGGGCTGAGTCATGCAGAGAGGCTGGGCTGCCAGGCGACAGCACACACTACCATAAAGGGGCAGCCAGGCAGGGTTCTCCTCTGGGGGAGGAGGGGGAAGACATAGATGGTGAGGGTGGAGAGTAAGAAGGGCCCTCCTTCCCACATCCAGTGTCCTCATGGTGCAACCTCTTCCACACCCACAGACTCACCGTGACTGGCAAGAGTAAGGTCGTGTGTACGAAACCCGTCCTGCACTGCCGCCAGGGTGAGCACAGTGTGAGCCAGGAGGTGGTAGCGAGGACCACTGGAGGGAGTGTCAGGTGCATTAGAAAGTGGGTGATGAAAGGGCTGAACAGGGCTGCTCACTGTTGAGGCTGCCCCACATAGACCTAGCTTGCCTCTCCAGCAGGGTTGGGAACATAGATTGAGCACCCTGGCCCAGGCTTTAGCTTGTTATCTCACCGTAGCCACACAACAACCCTGTAAGGTTAGTGGCATGCTTCAGGTGACAGATGAGGCAGAGAGGTTAAGGAGTTTGCCTGTGATCTATAGCCACTCTGAGTTCTGGTGGTTCCGCAGGGTGCTTCCAGGTGCCTTATAAGGCACCATCAGGGGGCCTGCACCACCTGACTCCAGCTCAGGAACTCCATTCTATTCACACAACTCTCCCTGCCTTCCTAAGGGGTCTCCTGGGCTGGCCAGCTTTGGGGGACAAGGACCAGAATGCCTCCCAGCTGTGCAGCCACTGCTCATACATATCTGTCTGCAGGTCCTGGCAGTAGTGCAAATGGGTTTTGTGCACTCAACACATCAATCCCTGCCAGCAGAACACAGCCAGGGAGGGCCTTACCCCACAGCCGGGGTGGGGAGCAGGATGGGGCTGCCCCCTGAGCTGCCAGCACTGTCCAGCGATGCCCGGACACGCCGCCCTGAGGAGCGGCCCAGGGAGCTGCTGAGTTTGGTGGCTAGTCTCTTTGGGGCACCAGTTAGGGCACCCTCCTCTTCCATGCAAGCTCCATATAGCTCCAGCCGCAGTTCAAAGTCAGGCCCTGCCTCGGTGCTACAGTAGTGCAGAAGGAAGAGAGAAAAGTGGTCATGAAAATCCCAGGAGACAATCCAGGGCAGTTCTGCAAGGAAGGCCTATACCCGTGTCCCTTCTCTGCCCACTCCTTCCTCAAGCAATTTAATTGGAAAGCTGAAGGGAAGCCCAGGGAGGAGGACTCACAAGAGAACACTGTTCTGAAAGGAGATGTCCGTGAGGGTCCTGTCCACCAAGATCATCTCTGTGTCCTGGATCTGTTCCCCAAGCTGCAGCAACAGGAACACGGCCCAGCGGTGCAGGTCTGGGGACAGAGGGTTGAGCTGGCCAAAGCCCACCCCCCAGCCTCCAGCCTCTAGCCTTGGGGGGGCCTGGGCTTGCCCCAGGGGATGTGGAACTCACCACCTTTGTTCTTGAAATACTCGGTGTCCTTCCACATGAGTGGGATCCTGAGGTCTGAAGGGCAGAGGGATGGGAACAGACATTGAGATGGGGTGGGACACCCTGTGTGTGGGTGTCAGGTGCCAGCATCCCAGGATGCTATGCTGCTTACCAGAGATACAGACACGTCCACGGCACGGGGAGCGCTCAGCTGGTGGTCCACTGTCAGAAGGCCTGTGGGTAAATCAGCCTGTTGGCCTGACCTCCACACCCATCCCTTTGTTTTGGGTCTCCCCAGGGCCAGGGTGCCAGCCACCAGATCCCCAGCCAAGCCCAGGACAGGGCTGAGAATCTATGAGAAGGAGCTGTCAGCTGAATCCAGACTGGCCGGGCTTGGGGAGCTTCAGAACACTTGAACCGCATTAACTTGCACTCTGGTACAGGGCTCCTCCCCCTTCAAGCCAGACCCCCCTCTGGAACAGTACCAGGAATAAGCAGGGCCTTGACAGGCTCCCTTCCAAGAGATCTTTATTAACTCCCAGCTTGGCACAGGTGATGGGAACAGGGCACAGGGGGACAGTGCAAGCTGTCCTTTTAATAGCACAGAGACTGTTCTTCCTTCCACACTGTCACTGCCACAAGAACTGGTTGAGTCAGCCAGAAAAATGTTTGAACTCCATGGAAAGCAAAGACGGAAGAAGGGGTTATTTGTGTTCCAGTGCTCACACAGCCCCCTCTGGCCCACAACTGACCACTATCGGACCCTAGACCCCAGCCCTTCTCTCCGCCCTACCCATCATCAGGACTTCCTGAGCATGTACCCCACTCCTAAAGGGGCTGGCCAGCTTAGCCCCACCAGGTAACTAATGCAATTCCTTCCTTGTTGGGCCCCTCCTGGCAGTGGCCGGGGACCATGTTCCACACAGCCTTAATGAGGCAAGCAGGCTCCTCCAACACAAGCCAGTTTTCCAGATGATCGATTCACCAAAATGGCCAATTCTCAGAACAAGCCTTTTGTCCAGTGTTTTCTCCATCGGATTCATGTTGCCACAGCATCACCTCAAACATCACCACGGGCTGTCAATCAGCAGTCTGACGTCCAGGTAGCTTGGGTTACACCACCAGAAGCTGGGCTCTTGGAGGATGCTCAGACACATTTGGCAAATGGACCATTTAGTGAACAGCTTTAAGAAGATTCTCCTGTTCAGAAGCCAGCCAGCCAGACTCATCAGCTCACAGGCAAGGCTTAGCAAATGCAGGGCTCTGCAGTACTCCTTGCCTCTCAGATGGCTGGCTGGCATCACAGGCATTCCCAAGCAACAAGGACAGCCCCAAGGTGTGTCTTCCAGACAGACCCTGGGGAGGCTTGGTGGCGGTGGAGGCCCAGGCACACCGCCCCTGCCCCTTGCTTACCGCCGGCCTGTCTTCCCCAGCACCTGCGCCTCCTTGCGCCGCTGTAGCTCGCCCATGTAGCTGAGGATGCGGCTGTTGCACACCAGCAGGCTCTTGGTGGCCTCAAGTGCCTGCTCTCGCTGGGAGCAAGCTGCCAGCAGCTTGCAGGCCCCTTCCCTCATCCGGATCTCATGGTCCAGCTTCCTCTGCAACTCCGTGTCCTAGGCAAGGTTAAGGAAGGAGGCAAAGGAAATGTCAGTCAGGGGACAGACTGAAGCACCCTCCTCCTCCCCCGCTCCCCACCCTCCAGTTCCCAAGTGGGCTGCATTCCCCAGGAGAAACTAACAGGAAGCTAATGTTTTGGGCAGTTCAAGAATAAGCATTGAGTTTCAGCCCAAGCTCCCCAACAATAGATGGAGACGCTCTGTAAAAACACAGATGTCCTCCTACACCAAGGGTTGGGAGGGAAGGTTCCTTCTGCCTTGTTCTGAGTGCAACTTAGAAGTCTGTTAAGAAGAACAGATTCATGTATCCTGTGAGCCAGTTCTGCAATACCTAGGAGTTATCCTCCTGATGTAATCACAAAATATAATTGGAAAAAGTCAGACTGCAAAAGTATTAATTGCAGCCTGAGTTTAAGCACCAAAACTAGGTTATAGACTCATAATATCACAGACATCAAAGAATGAGGTAGACACGTGCAGACATACAACCCAAAACAGTGATGAGAAAAAAAAGAATCATACCATTTGCTCAAAATGTGTATGCATATGCATGCATGTTTATATCCACATATACACAGCTATGCATTTTTACATAGAGAATATTAGTGGATCGTTTCTCGGCCTTTTGGCTAAGATCAAGTGAGAATACTAGCAGTTGAGGGCCAGCAAGGGGAAACAATTATGATACTTTGTATATACTCTTTTGTACTTTCTGAAAGTGTGTTGCCTTTTTAAAAATAGTAAACATTGAATCTTTGGAGTTAGAAATTATCCAATCCCACGTAAAAGCTCCCCAACTGATGCTGAAGTGTGGCAAGGGCTAAGGACCAAGAACTAAAAGGGCTGGACAGAGATTCAAGGTCGGCCACCAGAGCTGTCCCTGAAGATTCAAGTGACATCTAGTTGGCAAAGGCCAATGGAGAAGGAGCTGGCCCATGCTGCACGGAACCCCATACACATGCCACATAAGGGGATCCACCACATCCTGCCCCCTGCCCTGCCTCCCACAGCTGGGGCTTGTGCAGAAGCGCTGAGAGGGATGGCCGAGGCACAGGTCCCGGTGCTTACAAACCCCGGTTTCCCCATCTCTAAAATCCCCGGCTGGGAGAGTCCAGTGAGATGCCGCCTAGCACAAAGGAGCCGTGTGTGATGGGCATGTTTGCTTTAACGCTGTCACACTGGCAGCAGTGAATCCTGGAGCAGCCCAAGGCCTCCCCCCCCCCCCATCCCACCGAGAGGCGAGATATGCTAGCAGGGATGGCTGCCCCCTAGGTGCCAGCTCATGGCCTAAACACGCTCCTAGCTAAGGTGATCTGGAAAGACTCATCTAGTCACTGTTACAGATGGAGCCCGGGAGACCAGCAAGACAGTCAACCAATCAGACAAGGGGGCGTGGCCACCCCACCTGCCTTGCCCTCGCACCCCTCCACCTCTCCAGCCCTGGCTGCTGCCCCTGGTGTCTCCAGCCTTCCAGTCTCCAAGACCTAAACGCATTAAATATTCTCTCCCCAAAACTTTGTCCACACTGCCTGCAGGCTCTTCCTTCACCTTATATCTCCTGGGCCAATCTGCTGGATCACACTTGCCACCACCCTACACCAGGTACCATCCATTCGCTTTCACCAACCGGTTCCCAAAGCTCCCTCCACCAGGAAGCCCTCACAGACTGCAAAGTAACTCCCAGCTCAATTTTGTAAGTCTGCATCCAGCTTCCACACTGCCAAGCTTCTCTGCTTGCCGATCGTCACCCTAGTCTGCACCCAGCTCCTTCCCACTCCAAACACTCCAGATGCCTGACAGCCGATGAGCTCCTGGCTGACCTCCTAGCCCTGTCTCCCACCACCACCACTCACGGATTCTTCCCTGGCCCTGTCCATTGCGCGTGTGGGATCCGGGGAACTGCCAGGGCCCCAGGGCGGCGGGGAACCAGAGGGGCAGGAGCGCCGGCGGCGGCGCAGCCGCACCGGCCTCCGCCCTCCCGCGGCGCTCCGGGCGCCCGGTGACATCAGCTCCCAGTTGCCGCGAGAGTGGTCCAGGGGCGCAGGCGGTTCCTCTGGGTGCTCGGGGAGGGCGCGGCGCGACGCAGTCACAGCGCAAGGGAAAGGGCTAGGGCCCCGCGGGAGGCAGCTGACCCCTCCTACATTGCGTTTGTCCTCCACGGTGACCTCTTGCCCCGGGACGTGGGGTTCTATAGCAGGACTGGGGCCCAGCCTCATCTGCCACTTCCCCATGACCTTGCGGCTCCGGATCCACATTTCCCACGACCTGGAGTGACCCCAGGAACGCGGTTCCCACCCCGGGAGCAGAACTGAGACCTCCGTCTTGCCACCGCGTGGGATAGGTCCTAGGGCTTCCTCCCTGTCCCCAAGCAGGCGGACTCTCCTGGGAAAGCGCCCAGAGCTGGGAGCCAGCCGACTTGGGGCCCAATTCCAGGCCCCCGCCCCCTCCTCTCCTTCCCTTCTCCTGTCCCCGGGGCTCTGCTCTGTTTCTCATCACCTCTGCTGCGCTTCCCAGTCTCAACAGAGCCCAGCTGCAGACTTGACAAGTGGGTAGGACTTCAACTGGGAGGCTTCCTGTGCAGACTAGGCAAGTTTCCCACCTCCACAGCATTATTTGTGGAGTCAATGAGAGAATCTAACCTCTACTTGTCTGCAGCACATATTTAAATAAACAAGTTTCTCTCACTCTCACCTCCCTTCTCCCTGGAACTTAAATCGCCTCCTCCAGGAAATCTTCTTGGATCTAGTTACTTGCCCAGGACTACCTCTCTTGCATGCCAATGGCTCTCTTTGGAAAGTCTGATGACCTTGGGTGGGTTCAGGACAGCATGCTTGGGCCCAGTGCAGTAGCTTAGTAGCTAAAGTCCTTGCCTTGCATGAGCCAGGTATCCAGCTCCCTGCTTGTGACCTGGGAAATCAGTTGAGGACGGTTCAAAGCCTTGGGACCCTGTACCCTCATGGGAGACCCAGAAGAAGCTCCTGGCTCATGGCTTCAGATCAGCTCAGCTCCAGCTGTTGTGGCCACTTGGGGAGTGAACCAGTAAATAGAAGATCTTTCTCTCTGTTTCTCCTCCTCTCTATATATCTGACTTTCCAATCCAAATAAAATAAATCTAAAAAAAAAAAAAAAAAAAAAAAAAAAAAAAGACAGCATGCTTAGTCCAGGGCAGGAGACAAGGAATAGCATCAGGGAAAACTAAGACCCTCATCTGCCTTAGTGGGGAAAAATCACATGGAGAGTGGGGGTCAAAGGGTTAGTCCCAGGATGCAAGATTTAAACATTGAAATACCCAGACCAGCTCCATGCCAAAAAACCCACACAATGCTGACAAAGCTTGGTGGTGAAACACACAGCAGACTGTCATCCAGCACTTGACCTGTGGGTAAAGCCACTGAGGAACTGCACAGTTCACTTTATTGTGTTGCAAATAACTGAAGTTAAAGTTGAAGCAGCCACGAGAGATTAGGACCACACACAGGACTGGGAATGGCAAATGGGTTTTGTCTCCTGTGCCAGCACAGGTCAGCTAGGCACATCAGAACTGTAACAGGTTCATCGTGACCAGCCTGTATATTAGCAAAAGGTGGCACACAAGTGAGATAAAGTGGCCACCTCCAGAGGCAGCTCAGACCAGGCCAGGAGTCCAGCATGATGTGCTCCAAGGATGTGCTAAGGCTTCGGAGGCCACCTCAGGGTGCGCTGGTCAACAGCAATTCAGGGTCTCCGATGGGACTGGGAGAGGGTGCAGCATGCATGTAGTGAGCTGCCACTGCGTATCCGCACTCTTGGCACTCTTGGCACTCCAGTCTCTGATCTTTGGTCCGGCAGTCTCTTCTCCAGCCTCCTCTGTCTCCCCTCCCTTAGGACAGAGCCGTAGCACCCAGTTGCTTGGCTGCGCACCTGGAAGTCCTCCTAGGGTTCTCCCTGTACTGCCACTCCTGTCCAGTCACTCCACCAACCCCAGCAGATCTACCAGCATCCTATGAAATCTACACCCCACTAGGATCACTCCCCTACAACTGTCACACTGTCACACCATCAGCCACCCAGCCATCCCACTCACGCCCATGGCAGCCAGCACTGGAAAACACATTCTAGTCCGCTGCCTGAGGCCGATCTCCACATGCAGAGCAAACTCAGGGTGCCTGGTCCACCTCCAAGGCCTGCGTGACCCAGATCCTGCCTCGCAGCTCCATTTTAACTCCTGCATCCCAGCCACACACCGGCTGGGTCTTTCCCTCCATCTGAGCTCAAACACCCCCTGACAGGGGTCCCCCTGCTCTCCCCATCGCACACTGCCTCGCCCATCCAATTCTGACAACACCCAGCATCTCCATCCTAATCCTGCCACGTGCTGCGGTTTATGTGCTTGCCTTTTCTCACCAGAATTGGCCTTTCCTGTCTTGTCCACTGACCTTTGACATGACCTAGCAAGGAGCTTGGTCTATAGAACCAGCTCCACAAATGTGTTAAAGGATGAGTAAACTGATCAGCCAGCTCCCTCCCTCCTCCAGGGCCTGCAGAAGTCCTGCTTCCCCTGGGCTACACTCCCCTTCGCCCTGCCCTAGCCAGGCTGCATCCTCCCTGTTAGTGTCTCCCATGTTGTATTCTCTCCTTCCCATACCTACAAGGAGCCCTGGTCCCCAGAGCTGACCTCCACATCCACCTGTGGACTTCCAGAAATCGTGAAGGCCTCTGGTGCCAACACAGTGCTCTGGTCAGAGAACCAAGCCGGTGGGCACATGCACAGCCACCTGTCCCATTCCCCACACTGAGCAGGCCCCGCCCCACACCACCCTCAGCACCAGCAGGGATGAGACAACAGGGCCAAATGTGGCTGGGGCACCAGCACGGGGGGCCACATTACCTCCAGACTGAGTGCCATCTGCCGGATGTAGAGCATATTCAGGTCCTCCAGGATGTGCAATCTGTCCTGCATCTCTCTCTGCACCCCAGGGCCCCTTCCCCGGACGACCCCTCCGGAGGGCTCCCACAGTTCCTCCTCCCACTGCTTCCCTGGTCTTGAAAGAGGTGGCCAGCTCACGGCAGCAGAACTGGCAGAGGCTGCCCCCTGGCCCTCCACACTCCTGCTGGACCCCTCTTGGGTGCGGGGACGAACTGTACTCTACCGCGGCCAGGAAAGGAAAGCGAGGTGAGAAAGGAGTGAAAGAGTCGGGGTCCGGGAGGGGAGGAGGCCAGCTGCCCAGCGGGCTCTGGGCACACAGTGTCCAGGCTGGCTTTGGTGGCAGCTGTTCTCCCAGCTGTGGAAGAAAAAGGCCCTTTCATTCCCACTCTGGCCCCTCCCCAGCCCCCGCCCACATCCCTGGGCAGTCGGACAGAGAACCTGTGTGCCCAAGAGGGCAGTGAGGGGCAGGCACAGCTGGAAGGGGGCGGGGCGGGATGCCTCCTGCAGCCTCCGCAGGGCCCTGCCAGGGCCCTGGGGGATCCCCGGGAGAGGTTCTGGTTTAGTTTGAGAAAGTTAGAAAGGAGAGCCACGGAGACGAGGACTCAAGGACTGAACCCAGGGAGTGGGACAGAGAGGTGAATCCCCGAAGTGGCACAGACCCCGGGGCCAACTCGGGGCTCCCATCCAGCCCGCCCCACCCGAGGCTCAGGATTACCTCGCTTTTCCAGCAGAAGGGAGGAGAGCGCGGGAGAAAGGCTGGGGTGTGCCTGCCTGCGGCTGCCCCCGCTCCCCTCTGCAGGCCCCTTCCCTTCCAGACAGGAAACCAGCCCCGATTCCCAGCCAGCTGCAACCTGCCCCCGCCTCCCGCCTCCACTCCAGGCCCACGGAGTCACACACACACACACACACACATACACACACTCGGCTCACTCTCACACGCCCGGTAGCCCTGGCCGGGCCCTGCGGCTCCGTCCCGGGGCAAATCCGCACGGGCCGATCCGGGGGCGGCCCCAGTTCGCAGGCCCCTCCTCCTGGCCCGCGGACCTCGCCCCCTTCCCGGATTGCCCACGCGGGCCCCACGCGGGGCTCTAGGGCCAGGTGGCTCAGGGGTTGCGACAAAAGGCCTCTGCCGTCAGTACCAGCAGCTTCTGACTCCAAGAGAACTCGGGACCCTGAGACCCGGGTGTGAAAGAGCCTTTGTTCTGAGCGGGTTGGAGGGGAAGGACAGGAGCCAGGCCTGGAATCCCGGGCCGGAATGAGAGGGGGCCGGGCGCGTGGCCCACCTCCCTTAACCCTTTCCAAGCCCCTGAAGGGAAGGACCGCTAGGGACTGGGTGTCCCAAGTGGGAGGACAGAGACGCCTTCGGAGTGGCCACTCGCCCTGGCAGTCCCAGCACCTGCCCAATCTCCTTAGGAACTCGCAGGTAGAAGGGGGACTCAAACGCCTCCAACCCGGAGCCAACTGGCCTACCCAGAAGCCGGAGTCCTCTTCCTGTCCCTGGCAAAGAGGTCGGAAAGTTTGGGTGTGGCACATAACCCCCCCCAAAGAGTTAAAAAGGAGACTGCCTCCACTGGCCCTAGCACAAGGGGAGCCCTTTAGGGAGGACTCCAGGAAAGCAGGCAAACCTTGGCCGGCGGTGTAGACCGGGTGGCTGCCGCCAGCCCAGCTGTAGGATGGTGCTGGCGGGCAGGGCACAGCGAGTGAGCACCCATTGCACTTTGCCGGGGGTGGGGAGCCAGACCCAAGACACATTTTGTGAATCAAACCTGGGGAACCCCTAAAATTGAAGCCAAGTCAGGGTTTCCCCGCCCCCGAGGGCAGGGAAGGCACCTCTGCGGAGCCCGGGTCTGATCTCAGGGCAGACGGTCCGCACCTTATTTTGCTGCAAGTCAACAACTCCTGGCCACTTGGTCCCCAGACCGTGGCGTCTCCGCCCCTCGGGGTGCGCGCAGGCGGGGAGTAGTGGCCGGGGCGACCAGGGCAGCGTGCGTGGGCCCTGCCAAGAGGCTGGCAGGGCGCGGGGCACTCACCTCGGGCGGGTCGCTGAAGACGCTCAGTCGGAAGCGGCCGCGTTTGAACTCCATCTCCAGGGCGGATCCCCTGGCCACAGTGACCCGGCTTCGGTGGTTTCGGGAAAACATACTGTGCCTGCCCTGTGTGCTCCCTGCCGCACCTCGGCTCTCCTCTCTCCTAGCTTCTGTCCCCTCGACGCCCGCCCGGCCAGTCCAGCCCGGAATCTCCCGCTGCCGGGTTCCCAAACCCCGCCCCTGGAGTCAACACCTGGGCCGGGCAGGGCGCTGCACCCTCCTCTTCCACCCCCAGCCAAAAGCCCCGGCCCGCCCAGCCGGCACTCAGAGACAAGCAAGCAGGCCAGAGCCAAGAGCACCCTGCACCTCTGGATCACTGCGGGGGCGCACTCTGTCTTCCGTCCTGGGTCGCAGGCACCTCACCTGAGCTCAGAAAAGCCCCACCCCGTCAACCGCTCCCACCTGGCAAGTGTGGAAAACCCCGAGGGCCACAAGGATTTTTGCGGGGCCCTGGGACTGTCCCAAGTTCACCCCCAGACAGCCTCCAAAGGGACTCTGTCGAATCCTTACAGTCCCAAGTATCCCTTCCTTGCCTCCCTTTCAGGGCTGTTTGCACCTGCCTAGTTAGCCCATTTCCTAAGCCAGTGTTTGGCACCCTGTTCTGTAAAACCTCACACCCTACTCATTGATCTTTCTGCACTTCGGTTTTTCCATCTCTTTGCTGGAGGTATTGTAATGATCACTATGCCTTAAACTGGTAGAATCTCATGTGCAAACCAGTGTAAACAAGGCAGTACCCTAAGGTAGAGAAGAGACAAAGTCACAGACCTCTCTCTCCCTGGACTCACACCTTAAGTACCTGAAGACGGTGAGGTCTTTCTTCATCTTAGAGTTGATTAGCTCTCAAACTGCCCTGGGTGGTTGAGACAGAATGGCGACTCTCGGTTCCTGCAGAAACAGGGTCATCCCATCCCACACTCCCCTCCTCTTCTCCAGGAAGGCCAGTGGAAAAAGAAAGGCAAAGGATGATCTTGCTGTGTGTACCTCTTCCTTAAGGCTTCTGACCTTGCTGAGGAGAACTTTCTTTTGGAAAGTCTGGCTTCAACCTCCTTGACCAAAACAGGAGATTTACTGGCTTGTGGACTGAGATGTCCAGGGGTTAGGCTTTCCATGGAGCTTGTCCCAGCCTCCTGTGTCACCAGGAGTCAGTCTCTTCCCACTGCTTGGTTCTTCTTTTTTTTTTTTTCCATGGTGGCTTCAGTTTTCCTAGCATAACAACATTGCTGCCAAGAAAACCTCTGTGCCTACATTTCTTCAGGCTTAACTTCAGTTGAAAAGAGAACATCTGTTCCTTGAGCCTCCAACACATCTGGGATTCAGAACGAGTCATCTGGGATCACTCATCCCAAACCAAGCCCCGGCGCCAGCCATGAATTCATCACTGTGAGCTCAGGGTATTAGTTGGCCAGGCCTGGGTCACATGCCCATCCCAGCAGACCAGCTAGAACCCAGTGAGCTGGGAGCCAGAGAATAGAGGAGAAGAAAGTTGCTTCCCAAGAAGTGATCTAGGCACTATCCTCTGAGGGGAAGGGAACACATGGCAGACCAAACGCAAATATCCAGTACTCACTAACATTCATGCACACAGGGAATCCTGGCCAGCAGGAAGAGAAGATCAGGAAATCTAGAAACTCAAGAATGTATAAAGCCCATGGCATCTGAGCTACGCTGAGGAAGATGTAAGCGAGCCGAAAGGCAAAGAAAGGCATTTTTCATCACCTCAAGTATTGACAGTCACTACAAGGCAAGCTCCCCAGGGAGGAAGGGTCTGTCTTGTCCACTCTTTGTTCCCCTGCCTGGCACACTGCAAGCACTTAGTGGATATTAAGTGCAGTAAATCAACAGGGGATGCCTGGAGAAGCAAGCCTACTCAAGGGCCCTCGGGTGAGACCATCTGCTGGACTCCCAGTTGCTTCACAAGCCCATTCTTTCAGAAAGAACCCATTCTTTCAGAATGAAAGCTTGCCTGGGCTGTGGGGATCTGAAGCAGGTGTTGGAACCTCATGCCTTGTCTTCCCCCATAGGCCATCACTGCCCCCGCTCCTCCTCCTCCTCACTGAACCTGGGCTCTGTGAAAGGACTGGCAAGGCCTGAGAGGAGGTAGAGAGAGAGTGTTTGAGAAGGCAGCTGAAATCATGTTCTGCCTGAGTTTGCACTCACTGCCACTGTGACTGTTTTGGAAGGGAACGACGGTGTTATTCCGGTTTCCCTTCATGTCCTGAGACCCTGGGAGGCAGGCTACTTGGAAAGAATAGACAGGCTAAAAGGAGTCATAGTCTTGGAGGTAGAGCCATGTAAAATTGAGCAGGCCTCATTTGCGTTGGCCTCTGGTGACGGCATGTCTGGTAACAGTTCCAAGTGGCACCTGGCATGCCAGGAAACAGGGAGTACCCATGTCTGACCATGTCTCTATTTCTGTCCCTATAAAGCCACCTCTAATCACTATCATTGTATCATGTTTCCACTCTCAGTACTATTGGCATAGTAAGACTCTGAGATTTAAACTTTATGAATTCATGGGCCAAGTCAAATTCAAACCACAGCACAGGGTCATGTGGTAGAGATCATAATTTTGCAACAGCCTTTACAATACAGCAGTTGGAGGAGTCATGGAAGGTCAGACAAGCCCGTTAACATAGCTCTCAACGGGCCCGGCGCGGTGGCGCAAGTGGTTAAGTCCTCACCTTGCACGCCCGGGATCCCATATGGGCACCGGTTCTATCCCGGCAGCCCCGCTTCCCTTCCAGCTCCCTGCCTGTGGCCTGGGAAAGCAGTTGAGGACAGCCCAAGGCTTTGGGACCCTGCACTCGTGTGGGAGACCCAGAAGAGGCTCCTGGCTTCGGACCGGCATAGTATCGGCCCGTTGCGGTCACTTGGGGAGTGAATCATCGGATGGAAGATCTTCCTCTCTGTCTCTCCTCTCTGTATATCCGCCTTTCCAATGAAAAAAATAATAAAAATAAATCTTTAAAAAAAAATAAATCTTTAAAAAAAAAAACATAGCTCTCAACTAAGGGACGAGACCCAAGGGCCATGACTTCCATGGGCTTATTAAGTATTTATTTGAAAAACACTTGAAAGCACACAGTTTTACAACATTGAAGACTTTATAAAGGCTTTAAAAATGATTCAAAATATGTCTTTCCCCAACTTCAATTCTATTCCTAGAGGCAAATCCTGGGTTTGGTGCCATCAAGTGTGGAAGCCTCCCACTGGCTAGTGAGAGATCAGCACTGATATCCACAACCAAAAATATTCATTGTTCAGCACTATTTTCATTTAAAACTAAATTACTAGGGACTGGTGTCACAGAGCAGCAGGTTAAGCTGCCACCTGCAGTGATGCCAGTTCCAGACTCAGATGCTCTACTTCCAATCCAGCTCTCTGCTATTGTAAATGGGAAAGCAGCAAAAGATGACTTAAGTGTCTGAGCACCTACCACCCCCGAGGGAGACCCAGATAGAGTTCTCAGCTCCTGGCTCCAGTCCCAGTCCTGGCCACTGTGACCATGTGAGGAATGAATCAGTACATGGATGATATTCTCTGCCTTTCAAATAAATATACATTTAAAAAAAAATTAAATGATAGAGACATGGGCTTATACTGTGACATAGCAGGTAAAGCTGATGCTTGTGATACTGGGATCCAATATGGACACTGGTTCATGTCCCAGCTGCCCCATCTCCAATCCAGGTCCCTACTAAGAACCTGGGAAAAACAGCAGAAAATGGCCCAAGTGCTTGGTCCTGTATATCCATATGGGAGACCAGAAGAAGCTCCTGCCTCCCAGCTCCAGTCTGGTCCAGTGTTTGCCATTGTAGCCATCTTGGGAATGAAACAGCATATGAAAAATCTCTTAGCCTGGTGCAATTACTAATTCTCCACACTTAAACACCAGGCTACCATACAGGAGCCTGTTTGGGTCCTGGCAGCTCCTTTTCCCATCCAGCTCCCTATTTGCGGCCTGGCAAAGCAGTCAAAGACGGCCCAAAGCCTTGGGACCCTGCACCTGTGTGGGAGACCTGGAAGAAGCTCTTGGCTCCTGGCCTCAGCCTAGCTTAGCCCCAGCCAGTTGGGCCCTTTGTGGAGTGAACTAGCAAATGGAAGATATCTCTCTTTCTCTCTTTCATTCTCTCTGTAAAACTGCCTTTGTTTTTCTTTCTTTTCTTTTCTTTTTTTTTTAAGTATCTGCAAGAGAAATTTTTTTTTAAGATTTATTTATTTTTATTGCAAAGTCAGATATATATAGAGGAGAAGAGACAGAGAGGAAGATCTTCCATCTGTTAATTCACTCCCCAGGCGGCCACAATGGCCAGAGTTGCACTGATCTGAATCCAGGAGCCAGGAGCTTCATCCAGGTCTCCCACAGGAGTGCAGGTTCCAAAGGCTTTGGGCTGTCTTTGCTTTCCCAGACCACAAGCAGGGAGCTGGATGGGAAGTGGAGCTGCCGAGATTAGAACCGTTGCCCATATGGGATCCCGGCACGTTCAAGGCGAGGACTTTTAGCCACTAGGCCACGCTGCCAGGCCCTAATCATTGGTCTTAAAGCATTATAACCAACAATGCCATGCTTGTCTATGATCTCTCCAATATAAAACCACATCCACACTCCAGTAACCACCAAATCATCCTGCACAGCTTCTTAACTGTGAGCCCCTGAAGCTACTAGGCTTTGAATCGCTGTAGGAATTCCAGCAGGGCTTAGAAGCAGCAGCTCAGCTTTGGTGTAGTGCCAAAATGTAGCCAGTCAAGGCTTCAGGTAAGTCACAGTAGCATTCACCAGCAGGGCGCTGCAAGGTTATGGACAAACTGGGCCATAGTGGTAGGCTGCAGAGGCGTAAATCTGCCTTTTGAATAAAAATAAATAAACCTTAAAAAAAAATGCTAACTGGAATGTCCACATCCCATGTCAGAGTGAGCAGGCTGGATGGTGGCCTCTGGTTCCTGACCTCAGCTTTCTGCTGTGGCAGACCTGGGAAGTAGCAGTGATGGCTCACGTAGATGGTTCCTGACCCTCATGGGGGAGAACTGGACTAAACACCAGGCTCCAGGTC